CACACTCTCCCTTTATCTTAAGACTCCTACACAGTAAGTAGATGCTATATATGTAAAATGGGACGACATCAAATACACCAGAGTACATTAGTATTATGCTAAAATCAGTGGAAGACTTTTAGCCTGCTAAATTCATTCTTAAGAGGCAAGGGTCAACCAAAACCCCCATCAGCTGAATGGAACACCTTTCTGTCCTTTCCTGCGCCTACACTTTCTCTTGGAGCCATGTGATTGAAACATTGAATGACAGCCATACCAAAAAACACATTGACCCCCTTAACCCAAGTTGTGTATGAACACCTTACTATAAAGTTACCTGATGTATTTCTTGCTTGAATTCCAGACTACACATCCAACACACACACACAAACACACACACTGAACACCTTTCCAACTGCAACATAAGCACACCTAGTACATCTATCTGTAAGGCCCTAAGCTGGACTTGGTCATATATTTCATCCCATAAAAAAAAAAAAAAAAAACTTGCAAAAAATAATCAGCTAGATAATAGACAACAGTAATGAAGATGATGGTTAATGTGATGTTGACAATCATGTTCATAACAATAACAAAGAGGAAGAATACTACAGATACTGTAGCACTTAAAACGAGAAATAAAAAAGAATGAAAAAGAGGCAAACATATATAATTTCCCCTAAACCTTTCATGCTAAACCTTGAAGGAAAAAAAACAAAAACAAGCTTACAACATTAAAAGACAGTGTCCAACAGTACTGCAAACCCTCATATAGCTGACAGTCAAAAAGGGAACCCTAATCACAGTCTACAGAACAAAATTATACACATCATGCTGTTCATCAACAAAACTACAACACTATCATTTTACGTATATACACAGGAAGAAGCACAGGTTGGAAATACCACTTTCCAACAAAATCTACCTTACCTACATCCTTCCTCATTAAAAAAAAAGTAAATAAATAATAACTCTAAAATAATAATGATATTAATAATAATAAATAATAATAATACCAAAGATAAAAATGCTAATAATACAACACATATCATATATCATAGCTATAAAATGAAACAGAAGTACCTTATATAAATAGACTAACATCTAATTATGAATCCTTTTCAACCCAGAAATTCACAAAGGAGTCTCCAATGTCTCGACAGTAATCACCTACAAGTCAAGAATTTCATATGCAAGTCCCAACAGCCTGCAATACTGCCAGTATGAAATATCCCCTAATACTAGTAACAAAGTTCCACACATTCTATTTAAATATATAAATATATAAATGCTTACTAAGATACATCTCAAACCTCTGCCTCTTGCACTACACGACAATTCATTAAATTATATCCACCAATTTAGAAAAGAGAAAGAGAGAAAAAAGAAAAGTGGTAATAATAATCTGTCCACAAAATGTATGAACTTACAGTTAAAGTTCTTTTCTTAATACTGACAGTGTATATATTCAGTCATTACAGTCATTATTGCTGATGATTAAGCATTGCAAACAAGTGTGCAAAAAAAGAGGGAAAAAGTGAATGCTCTTCAAGAATATAAACTAAAAGCATTAAAAAATAATCATATTTAGAGCAAAAAATAATCATGTTCTGAAACCAACTGGAGACAATATAATCGCACAGATATCTTTTAAGAACAATAAATAAATACATTATACAAAAAAATGAAATATATAAACAATCATGAATACATCTTAACCAGTGAATTACAAACATGACTATTTTCTTTTTTCTTTTTCTTTTCTTTCTTTACTGTGTTTGGTGACATGAAACCCAAACATCTTTAGCTTTTTGCTTACGGAAATTATTTTCCACACAAAGATATATACACAAGTTTAGATACCTAAAAGCATCATTATAGTTTTAAACATTACTCATTTATCATTATCATAAAATGGGGGATATACAGTGCCATTCAACAAACCCAAATAGTAAAGAAAATACTGTCTATAAATAAAATTATCAATATTCATAATAAATAACCATTCCTAAGCCAGTTTATCCATTAGAGACCTTAATCACAAGCTCAGAAATGATCAGCATTACACATCTTGCTAACTGTAAGCATGGCACCTCAACGGCGCTCTCAGTGACAGGGCAACATAATGTACATTGCCAGTTAGCTTTAAGTAGGAATTGTAAATATCATAAAAGTATGTAAATAAGGGTGTAGAAGGATACACAAGAATCCTTGGGGTAACAGGGCCTAGATCACGAGAGCAACAGTGGACAGCTTTATATCATACATCTGTATATGATACATATCATATAAAAGTATGTATATATGTAAGTGCCTATACATACACACATACATCTTTTATACATATACATACATGCATACATATATATATATATATATATATATATATATATATATATATATATATATATATATATATATATATATACACACACACATATACAGACATATACACAAACATATATGTATACATGTGTATATGTATGTATACAAAAATGTATAGTATCAATTAATCTCATCTTGGTTTACACATTGAACTCTTCAATAAAGTGCTAAACTTCATTACCTCCACCAGAAGCCTGCTCAGTAGGAGAGGTAACGACTTCCTCGGTGCTGTTCATCCGGCCTTCATACTCATTTTTGCCCGTACTTTTCCCCCGACGCGAACCTTCAGTTGCAAGAGAGATTTTGGAAATTAAGTATATCAAAAAAATATATTGTAGGCAAAAAATATGAATAATTGAAATAATAATGAATGATTATCAGTGTTGTATGTGCTTCATATTACTGTATCCTGCATTACATAATCTGTAGGTTAAGACATATATGTACATCCATCTATCTGAAATGACTTCTACCATTATCTAACACAAGAAATATTACTGCCAAAGCCTATTTCCACATATATAGATCATGTCTCTAGTATTTTTCCAAAGTGGTGAATCCTGGATTTACCACAGAGGGGATACACACATATAGCTCCACAAATTCTTAACCACGTGGAGTCAATCAGTAGGCCCTAGTGATCATGCTTGATTTCCCCATTCTTCGAATTTACAGGATATTTTTCTAATGCTAAGCTGTCATCATAATCATTATCATTGATATACGGATTGTTATAAGTCACTCGAAAGACAATCAAGTAAAAATCAAGGTAAAGAGTAAACAAGTGAGTTAGGTTGAACTAATAATGAACTAACTCCTTGGTGACTAAACACAAATGGAGCCATCTCTGTGTAATCATAACAAATAAACTAAAATTACACTGGACATGGCATGCATTTTTGCCATCTGCAGCTATTGGGTTGAATGAGGCCTAAACATTGAAGGTATGCGCTTGTAGGATTGCATATCAAGGGAGTAGTGGTAGAAGATTTAAGAGGCACATTATATATATTTAATAGAAAACTGCAGCACTTCTAATTGACTAGTGCTGTAACCATGACATCAGTAAATAAGAGATCCAGGCTCCCATTTCTTCAGCACGGAAAAATGAACACATGTACAGTATACATGTACATAAATCAAATTTTGCTCAAAATCATATGCACATATCAGTTTAACCAATATTCTCTTACCCAATTTTAGCAGACATATTTATACTGTTACCTAGATTATTAACATATTTCTGAATACTATGTATTATTCTTTTCTTGTAATGGAGTTTAATACATGGATGGCATGCCCCCTAGATCTGCCACATAAAGAAATTAAAAACTAGACTGCAATAATAGAATAGCAAAAATTTAAGTCCAACAGGTCTCCTGTTCTATGCCAATTGCAGTATCATTAAAACTATATTCCTTGGCAGAACCAATTAAATAATTATTTTACTGAAAACCCTTTGGCTGTGCAATTGCAACAATAATAGTTTTAGGCACAATCTTACAAGTGTGCTAAAATGACTCAAAAACTTACCAGGGATGCTAAATGGTGCTGCACCAAACGGGTCATCTTCTGTGGACATTACTAAACTTTCTCTACTCTTTACATTTGATATACCTGTGAAAAAATATAAACATGACTTTACTATGAAAAGAAGAAAAGAAAGAAAGAAAGAAAAATAGATATATAAATACCACTGTGTGGAAATACTTTGTAACATGTATCTAAAAGATGTTGATTTATCCTAGAACAAGTTTATCAGTGCAAAACACCATGATATCCACTGGTTTGCTTACTGCTTTGAGATCCCCTTCGGATCTTGTCAAACTCAGCACCAAAGATGTGATCCTCCGACATCTGACTGAAGGGCGTCATGTCATTGAAGGGGTTCCACGCTCGGACTTCTGCTGCGGCCAAATTTACGTCGGAGCTGACTAGACCTTCCTGATATTTAGGGGGGAGGAAGGTAAAAGAAAGAAAGAAAAAATTACAGCCAAGACATTTAGAAGAAAACACAAATCCTTAATAATAGTTACTGTCAGATTCCTTATCTCTGTTATCATGGTAAAGTCTTATTCTAGTGTTAAGAATTGTTTCATCCTTTAACTGCATTCAAAGAGAAAAAGTTATGCAATACAGACAAATTCCCAAACATTAACACAGGCAAGATAAATAAAAAATCTGTTGATGGTTATGTGCTATATGAGATGAAGTATTACAAAAAAAAGTAATTAATGATGAATGAATAAAAAAAAATCTTTCACATAAACACAGCCTTGTTTATTTTTACATAAAAAAATCTTTGGGTAATCAATTAAGGAAAAGGGATAAAAGTTACTGCTTATTAATTAATAAAGTATCCTTTCCAATAGTCTAGAGTAGTGGTTCTTAACCTTTTTACTAGCACACCTCAAAGCCCCTTCCCATCCATAGATACAACTCCCTCCCAGATCTTGAGGATAAAATATAGACTTCAAACCTTGCAAATAACAAACAAAGAAACACAATGCAACAATACAGCTATGGTTGCTTACTATTCATAGGTAACTAGAATAGCTGAGGTACAACATACCACAACAGCCTCAACTAAAGAAATAAAGAAGAGGGTTACTAGGGATGGATATGGCAAACTGCCATATAATGGAATTAAAAAAAGAGGTATACAGTTCAAGGACAAATCAACTCCCCCCCCCTGGGTTTTAAGGAATAATCAGGGGGTTACATAGACAATAGAAAAATAAAGTTACTAAATGTGATACTTTTGCATTTTTCATAATCTTCTCATGTTAGATGCTGCTAATAGGAAATATAATCAAAGAAATTCATACTTTTCACCTAAGGCTCACATCCCACTAAAAATTATTGATACCCTTCTAGTGAAAGTGCATTCCCCAGGTCAAGAACCACTGGTCTACATCTAAGAATGCAAATGCCACCTTCCAAGCTGGCACTAATAAGTATCTGACCCATATACATAATAAAATCAGATCAGGAGTCAATGACATATATCTAAAATTGCTTCCACAACTTCTCTTAACAAAACAATTTCCTATCACATCATACAATACATCATAAGTTTCAAAATTACATCTGACTGTTACTGGCCACCCTAAAACAATCTACCTAAACTTATCAACACACAACCACTTAATAAAAAATACCAAGAAAATGTCTACAGCAGTACTGCTTCCTTAGACCACCTCCTGTACACAACAGACACAAAGCACACACACACCTGTGAACCATCCTCAGTCTGGGGGTGCTGGCAGGTCCTGCTTCTCTCTCCGCAGACTTCACTGAAGTCTCAAAGGGGGCCAGGAACTGCGTTGTCTCACTGGCAAAGGTCCTGTTAAATTTGCAGTCTTTGTTAGTATGACTTTCCTATACTTCAAAAGCTACTTGGACAAAAGGACTTTTGAGCACTCTTCCTCCCTTACCTTTCCCTCACAAAAAGGAAATAACTGGCAATAAAAGAAGTACTATCTTCTTATAAAATTCTGTTTTATACACATAAATCAAACTCCAAAGTACCTCTGACAACAACTGTCATAAAATGATACCTGGAAACACAAAATGAAGTGCACTTTGTGAGCATACCATTCAAATTGAATTGCCTACTTTTCAAAGATAACAATTTTGACAGATGGCTCTAATTGTTTTGGTAGTTTGCATGAGTAACACATGTCAGTAGGCTACTGTACATTAGGGAAACCCAACGTTCCTCACAGTCATGAGTGCCATGACAATTATGGACTTCTATGGCCATTAACTCAAAGGGAAATCTCTGTTTTATGAGAGCAATACAGGAGCATTAGAAGTGAAGTTAAAACAGATGGAACTATTACAGTGATAATTAATGACCAAGAATATAAAATCATCTGATGAGAGTGACAAAGATAGAGAAAACAGAAATGCTAATATCAGATGTGAGAATTCTGTTTAGCATATGTAGGCTAATGTAAAAAAAAAAAAAAAAAAAAAAAAAAAAAAAAAAAAAAAAAAAAAAAAAATCTATTTTACGAAGGAAGAGCTTGATAAAAGCTAAAATGATAATTTCTCTAACCAATTATAAACAAAAATATATGAAATAATGCTATGCCAATAATTAAATGACTAAAGGTAACTATATAGAGAGCAAACGTGTTGGCTGCTCATGCAGATAGCCATGTCATCTGCTCTCCTACCAGGCTTATAATAACTTGTTATGGAGAGTTTGGCAGCAATTTCCAGTTATGCAGAGCTGACATAAGAGCAGATAGAAAGTGTATTTTATTTGAAGTAACTTAAAAAAAACATCTCTAATTTTCTGAGGAAAAAACTGTGTAATCTGTGAGTTCACATTATATCTGACAAACTATTAATTCTGTAAAAGCCACTAACTGCAAAGTGTCTGACAAAATACAACTTTTCTTTATTTATCCAAAATCCCCTCTAATCCTCTAGAGTAGAATTTATCAAAGCATTGCAGCTTTTCTTACTGATCTAAAATTTGCTTATGAATAATCTTGGCTGTAAAAACAATATGAAAATTATACAAATAACAGTCCTTTAATTTGTAAAAATCTCCTAAAATCCTATTAATAAGAACAAAAAGAAAGAAAGAAATTAAAATAAAGTGACTCATATTCTAAACAGACACTTTAACACAACCAAATCAAGCTTGCACCTACTTGTTGAAGGCGGAAGTATCAGACACATTCCTGCGGTGCACCCTGGGATGCTGCGACTGTGTGGGTGAGACCTGCGAGGGTAAGTGGTGCTGGTGAAGGCTCAGGCCGGAGGTATCGCTCTCATACTTGACAAGTCCTGTAGCCACAGCACCACCGCTACCACCCATCCCGGCCGCCCCAAGCCCTGCCGAGCCTGGCAGTGCTCCACCACTTCCCCCGATGGATCCCTGGCTGAGTGACAAGCTCTGGGGTCCACTGCCAATGTTGCCTGGGGGGGCAAGAACAACCCTCAACACTGCTGCTCATGGAGTGGGGTCCGCAAACTGCCGACTCAACCTCACCTTCCCGAAAGGGGTCTGGATAGCCTGAGGGTGATGTCATGCTGAGTGGATTTTGCTTTTCTTACATAAATGGGGGAGGGGGGAAAGGGAGATAGCAGTGAAGAGGAACTGGAAGACTTACTTGTATGTTAAGGAGATGCTTCTTCATTTTCGATTTTTATCAAATTTTCAAATAATGAAGCTAATTTAGTACATTCTTTAATTGCTTTCAACTACTGTTCATCATGGCTTGATCACCATTCTTCATGCAAAGGAATTTCCAGGCAATCAAGTAAACT